CAGATCATTTTCATGCATTACATTCCCAGGTGAATATGCATGGAAGGTAAAATACAAATATGTACAAAGCAACACATCTGCACACCCAGGCATAACACTTAGATGTTTGTTTAAACAACCTATCCTGGTGGTAAAACATGTAAAGACACACAGACGTCCTGACTACATGCTCATCACACCCAAGCACAGGCAGATGCAGCCCACACGCAGCATGCACGATTACACACGGATGCCACATGCACTCCTTCCAACACAACAGCTCTGCAGCCCGCTTTTTCCCAACCTCCCCTTAATGCCTTTCTTGTCCAAGCCCTTCACGCCTCCCTTCACTCCCGTGAAAACAGCAATATTAACTCCTACAAGCATTGTACAAACCTTTGTTAGCAACTTCCCAAGCAACTTCAAAGAGTAGCAGATCCTCCACTGGTAGGTCTTCATCCTCCCACTGAGGAAGCCCGTTAAGAGAGGTTATGGACATTGATCTAGCCAGAGGCATTTTCTTCAGCCCTCGAACGCTCACCACTCAGGCCACAACAGTTAGCAAATGTCCAGTTAATGTCGTAGTTCTCCGCAGTTCTGGTTAGAGCAGTCTGCCGGCGTGCTGGACTCCAAGGAGAAAATTATTCAGATAGCTAGGAGCTAATGGGTTTAAACTGTCTGACCACCAGCATTAAATTGGCTCAGTGAAATCCTCAGGGCTTGAGAGACAGCTGCTGGTAGAGGTAAGAATTTAAGACTGACCTGAGAAAGGTCTCAACTGTTTTGGGACTAGGGGTCTTCCTTTTTCTTCAGTTGGAGGTAAAAAAAGGTTTTGAGCACCTCAGCCACAGCATTCAGTATCTACCACCTCAGGGACAACTGAAACTTGCTGGTTGTAAATTCAGCACTGCCCTGAGCAAACTCCAGCAGGGAGGACACTTCAAGTTCACCACCTGATTTGAGTCCAGCCCCTGAGTCCTCCCCTCGAGATACACCCTCCCATCCACACCCATGGACCTTCTCTATCTGCTGGCCACTTACCAATTGCGTTCGCAGACTTGTTCTACATGTCTCTTAGATTACTCGCCAAGTTAAATGCTGTTACCTGCTCTTGTTCAGTCCATCAGTCTGTAAGCACTAGTTTACCTCATATCCTTCCTCCAGCTGTGTTCCCAGGGTTCTGCACAAGCTGTTGGCTTCATTCTGCTCTTGAGCAGCCCCGAGAGGTTTTACAAACAGAGCTACAAAGGCTCTAGCTCTACTTTTGCACACACTTCGGCCCTCCTTTCAGTCCTGGTCCCTGATTTCCTATGCCATGGTCCCTCTTTTCCTATGCCATGGTTCTTTTCTGGCCTTCGGGACCATGTCCTTGGCCCAGGGAAACTAGTAAGTCAGGGAACAGTATGCTCCTGTCTTCCTCCAGCACAGAGCAGTAATGCTGCAAGAGGTACACACACCTCTGCAGAGGTGTTGGTCCCTAACTTGCAACCTGAGATCCTCAAAGCTCCACAGAGCAGCTGCCTGCTTGGAAGATTGTGCTTACATGTCTGGCTGAGAAGCCAGTGCTTCTGAACAGCTGTGTAAATTGAATCCGATTCTGAGCTTAGAGCACAACCTGCCCAAAATCTGCAGTTCAGCAGTGAGCAAATCTCTAGGTGAGATCCAGGGCATCTCTAGCACTGTGGAGAATAAAACTGCACCAGCAGTATCATAGAGGGAAAGGCTCTGAGCTCACTTAAGATGAAACAAGTCTGAGGCAATTGGTTTAGAAGACAGGCAGCCCATCTGCACAGAAATCTTTTAGACATAACATAATACAGCTGAGCCTACCTTAAAGGCTAACTACCCCCCGAAAGACTTGCTCCTCCACTTACACTTCCTACACCCTCTGCTTTTTTATGGCAGTCCGACCCATCCCTGAGCTGCTGGATACAGCTCACCAAACTAACCGAAGGATGCAAAAACTTTTTTGCCAAGTTAGGGACTAGAGCTGTCTCAGCATAGAGCCTGGCGAGAGAGACTAGAGCAGCACAGCTGGGAAGAGCAGGAGACGGAAAGGTGTGAGCGAACGCTGCCTCGCCTTTCCAGCCAGCGGAGCTGGTTAGGTTAACTGGAAGGCATTACAGCCTGCCCAGGGAAGGACTCAGGGTTTTCTTGGCTGGGTGTCGTTTTGTCTCCATGGTCCGAGTTGCCCTATTTGCCGCGTTATGAAAAAAAGCCTGGCCGAGAATCATGACGTTTGGAGCAGCTGTGGCTCTTGCTGCCTGGAGTAGGTAGGAAACCACATCATCCTACAGGTTAAAAATCGTGTTACTTAAAAGAACAAACAGTAATACTTTACCGCTTACTTCATTTCTGGACCACCAAACCTGCCCGGGTCGCGTTTTCACACTTTTCCCTGGAAGCCCTGAGGGCGAGGCCGAAA